ATCGCCCCCCCCCCCACCCCCTACTAGCCAGCCAGGCTTTATGTCTAAATAATGGTCATGGATTTTAGGGAGGACCCCATGCTGGGTTTTTTTTTTGCATGGTTTGTCCCTCCAAATCCATATCAGACCCTTATTAGGGAAAGGGTCTGGTATGGATTTTGGGAAGGAGTTTGCTATAAATCCCCCTCGAAATCCCTAAAAACAAATGTGGAGTAAGAACACAGCCCTGCAGTACTCCCATACTCATAATAGTACTGGCAAGACACAATTGCCCATCATCATTGATTGCGGCCTGTTTATCAAAAAATCTCTTATCCACAAACATCACAAAAATGTGACAAAAAGTTACTTCTGTGAGATAACATCCTACAGATGAACCATGTGCAGGATTAAGGTATCCCTCAAGTATAATATTTAAAACATTTGTGCAAGAATTTTGCATTTTTAATAATGCCCTTTAAACCTTATTAAAAGACCAGTTGGTACAATACAGAAAATATTCCAGTGGGGCTGTCCCAGCAGAACTAGCAGATACAGCATGTTGGCGTAGAGTAGCACAGCTAAACAGAGAGGAAACTAGCTACCACTTGGTACTGACTGCAGGAACACATTCCCATGTGTTCCCTGCAGCTGTCATGTGACCTGTAACATCCTTGCTGAGCTACAGGGAACCAATAGGAAGGTTTTCATGGGTTCACCTTTCTGCTGACAACCAATCACAGGAAAGTCTCCCTACCATAAGTGCAGTACATAATCTATGGGTTGTCCTGGTGGAATGGAGACTGCGAGTTGCCTCTGACATTACACACAACACAGCCTGGATCTACAGGATGCAGGGTTTTCATTAAAATCCTGGAACTGTATGTTATAGGTTACCTGCAGCAGAAAAAAGTCAGGTCACCAGCTTGGATGCAAAATCTTTCTATGCTGCGTTTATCTCAGTACTGGAGGGACAATAATACAAACTTATTTAGTTAAAATCCTGGGAAGGTTGAGAGGCATATTATAGGTTAAATACATCAGACAAAGTCAGGTCACCAGCTTGGATGCACCATCTTCCTATGCTGTGTAAATCTCAGTACTGGTTGAAAAATAATACAAACACTTTTGGCAAGTAAACTACCTCCCATATTAAGCATTGAGTTCAGCTTTAAGAAAACAGACTTCCATTTAACAAAAACAAAATTCACTTGCTACAAACTTACCACATTTTGGATATGTTACAATTAGCACATCATCTTCTCTGGCATCCAATTTCTCCATTGCTTGAAAAGTTGCCTCGCTGCAGAGAAGGCTAGGGTATAGAATGCCCTTATAACTAAATTTCAGCTCTTCTGGTGTCATCTTGGTTGCCTGTTGTGCAACTTTCTTAATTTCTGCCATGAATTTCTCTTTCATTGTTTTTTTCCCTTCAGAGACAGACATCTTTCCTACAGACTATAAGCACAAAGACTGGCAGTGTTTTCACAAGCACTTCCTTTTTAAATGAGGCACAGGGAGGGGGCAGAGTACACACCAGCACCGCCTTATTCTTGCACATATTCCCTAGTGTTAAACACGGCTTATTACACAACCTCTGAAGATTGGGAGTCATGCAAGGCAGTCAAGTACAAATACATGTAATGTACTTTAACCTACTGACAAGAATGACAAGTCACTTTACTAGTATCTACACAAGAGATTGTGTGACCGTTTACACTGAAAACAATGACATAAAAGTTTACTCGGCATGACAGAATTCTGTGGGAGGTGGTCATAGTGGATGGGCTGCTGCGACTTACATGCTTTCCCCAGTGCTTAGTAGTAGTAGATGGGCTGTTGTAGCTTAAAAGCTACCCACCCTGCCTGCTAGTGTTGGGTGGGCTGCTGAAAAGTGATAAAGCTTGCCTTTGCCGCTACCATTTGTTTGCAGTGAATATATTCACAAAGTTTGCAAATCATGAACTTTTGTGGCAAATACTTTGCAGGTTCGCTTGCAGAAATAAGAAGAAAAATATATTGCAGTGCATAGCCTTCACCCCTATTCAGCTGAGTCACAAGAACCAATCATTTGAAGGAATCCATCACCCAGACCTCTTTCTATTAAAGATTTTAGTAGGGACAGATGACAGTTTTGTGTAGGGAGAGATGCCTTTTGTTTGACAATAGCTTGCTTATTAGTCCTACAAATAGCCAAAAATCCCCCCCCCTCCCCCCCTCGTTGCAAAGTTTTTTGTGAGATTGTTTGTGAACCAAACACAGGTAGATCTCATTGATACTGCTCAGAGATCAGGGGAGCTCTGCTCCCCATGTTGGTTGCTGTGTTTTTCTCTCTGTCCTAGGTGCTCGGCTTCCAGCCTATTGCAGGTTCACAGGCCTGCAGCCCATCTACTGTCAGCCTCTCCCTTCTAGAGCAAGCACACCTGTTGCTTGGGGTTTAAGCAACGTGTAAGCTATGCTTGCCAAACCCAACCCCCATGTTTCCCATGCTTGCTTTCGCATTCCACGTATCTCCAGTGCTTCCCAGTTGCTTTGTGTATTCCGAGGACCCCATGTGCTACCCACTTTGCTTGTGTAGCCTGAGATTCCCCTGTATTTTCTTCATTCCCATGTACTCCTGTGTTTACCACTAGTGACGCCTGCATACGCTTCCGCGCCAAGCGTATACGCGCGTGCGTGCGCGCAGTCGGCGTGTTTTTGCATGGCGTGTTTGTGGCGTGTTTGTGAGGTTAGTAAATCAACCCCCTTTTGTAATGTTTGGACACCCCTGCTTTCTTTGGGTGGACCTGCATTTGCCCACTAGAGAATCTACATGTCTTCCCTGGTCCCTCTACACTTCTATGTGCTCCTCTGAGTATCAGAAGAATCTCCTTTGTGTCCTCCCTGGACTCCTCTGCATTCCCAGTGTCAACGTGCATTTATCCACTAGAGACTCTCTGTGTATTCCCTGGATCCCTCTGCACTTTGGTATGCTTCTCTGTGTATCACAAGAGACACCTTCATGTATTCCCTGGACTTCCTACACTCCCAGTTGTAATGCTCTGGACTACAAATCCCAGAGACGTAAAGCTTATTCCAAAGATGAGCACAGATGTAAAGCTTGGCAAAACTATAATTTCTATTTTGTTGTCTGTTCTTGCAGTAAACTCAAGGGAACTGACCCAGTAGCATTTAAAGTACTTTACTTGGGGGAAAATGCTGCATATACAAACTTAGTTACGGGAAAAACAAATATAAACAAAACCATACACACAGGCTGCTACAAACAATCACATGCACCCACTACACTATCCTTCAAGTACATGTAATGGTTTCTTAGAGACAAAACACTAAAATAGTACTTAGCTTCAAGCTGCAGATTCCGTAAATGAACAGTGTTGTGAGCGGCGTCATCCGCAGTCATTACGAGCACCCGTTACTTTTGGGATATCGGGTAATGGGTGCGGCAAAGTATATGGATATTGCTTTATATAGTATATATCTGGGGACCTGTGGCACACTGGCAAGTTGTGATTAACTCCAAACACATGCGTCGTGTATACTTTACAAAAAAAATTGCCGCGAGGTGCTACAGTGTTCGGGTTTGGCTTGAAGAAAAGGTGGCAACCCTAACAGGACTCCTTGGCACTTAAGCATTCGCAGGAAAATGGCTTCTCGTTGCAGTCTCTGCTAAGTCCTTTGTATTAGAGTCCGCTGTTGGTCAGAGTGATGTCCCTGTCTTGAAGTCCTGTTCATTACGGAATTTACGGAATCTGCAGCTTGAAGCTAAGTACTATTTTAGTGTTATGTCTCTAAGAAACCATTACATGTACTAGAAAGATAGTGTAGTGGTTGTATGTGATTGTAGCAGCCTGTATGTATGTTTTTGCTTTTATTGCTGTTTTTTTTCTTTTCCTAACTTTGGCTACTGGGTCAGTTTCCTTGAGCTTTACTGCAAGAACAGACAACAAAATAGAAATTAAAGTTTTGCCAAGCTTTACATGTGGGCTTGTCCTTAGGATGAGGATATCCCAAAACCAGTGTATACCGGCATTTTTCTCAAGAGGCATCTTTGTACCTTGACAAAGATGCCTATATATATTGACTAATAAGCAAGCTACCTGGACTCTCTGTGTGTCAGGACACTAGCTGTGCCCCATTCCCCCCCCCCTCCACACACACACACACACACACACACACACACACACTGACCGTGTCTCCAGTCTCCAGTCAGCATTTTTTGTACTTCCTGGGGATTCCTACACCACTATTAAACCTGTTTTACTGTTTTCAGTGTTTCTTTGGACTTCCTAGTGTGTTCCAGTGCCTGTAGTCTTTTGTGCCTGTACTCTGGAATGCTGTCCACTTGAAGAGAGTTTCTATATGCCTACATTCCTGTGCACTCCATACTGCTAGAGTGCTATAGTGACATTCAGCTGTTAGTTTACCTGAGCTACCTGTGCACTGCTTATGAGTACCTGCAATTCAGCTCCTGAGTCTCTATAGCCAGCTCTATCTGTCTATCTGTTGTGTACATCTTTATTATCAGGGCTGTTACAGTCTTTCTTCTGCGAACCAGTTTATCCTGTACCACAGTGCAACACTTATCCTGAACCTCCATGTTGAATCAGACTCTTTCTCTGTGTGCCACTAAATCCCGAATAACACCACTGCAACTGTCTAGTGTATTCTGTACCATAGTGCAATAGTTATCCTGTACTTGTGTGTGCCACTGTATCCAGAGTCTCAGCGCTGCAAGTGCTTCACTTCTTCCGCAGTATGCGGTTTGCTGTGCCTGCAACCTGGAAGCTGTCCTGCAGCGAAACCCCCCTTTGCAGGGTGCTCTGGTAAATACCTGGCACCCCTTAGACTCTGTGCTTCTATCACACTCCCTGCCTGGCTGCCCCGAAAACCCCAGAGCCAGCATTCCTGGTGACTACAGTCCCCTGACAATTGTCACATGTGAAAAGCCTGCCATAATAACCAATTGTAATGTTGGGGAGTTCACAGAGCACTCGCATACTTACAGAGCTAGGTTATTTTTCTTTTAAATAAATATTAATGTAATTTTATTGGTATCTATCTACCATTAGCTGCCTCATTTCCCACCCTCGGCTTATATTCGGGTCAATACTTTTTCCCAGTTTTTTTTGGTAAAATTAGGTACCTCGGCTTATATTCGGGACGGCTTATACTCGAGTATATACGGTATTTGTTCACCAATTCTCCAGTTGTGCCACACACTCACAGTGTCGCAGTCCATTAAAGTTTTTCTCTTGCAGCACTTCTGCTCCGGCCTCCAGCCTCCCAGGCTGTTCCTGGTGTGGCTCTAACACACCACCTGCCTTGGCCCCCGTGTGCCTCCAGCACACACCATGCCCTCCGCTGAGCTCTGGTCTGGGCTTTTAATGAGGCTGCTCTCAGCCAACTGATCGCTGGCAACATCTGACCTCAGGACTGGAGATTTCATCCCACCCAGAACTCTAAGAAATCTCCAGAGATCCAGGTCCCAGTTACAATCCGGACAAACCGGAAGAAACTGAAAGGCCACCTTCTTCCCTGCAAAACATTTTGCATTCTGGAACCTCTCAGCCCCTCTGGCTGAGAGTCCTGGGTGATCGTGTTGCCAGCACACTCTGTGGCAACGCCACGCACTGCCACACAATGCCTCTTAACATTTTCCTCTTTTTGGCACCAACATCAGGGTACTGCAACCGCTGTTTCAATTTAACACAGCTGGAAGTACTGCGCATGACAGAAGTATGAGGCGGAAGAGCTCTAGAAGTCCCTGCTCACTAGCACCTTTTAAAACAATGGCAAACCTGTGCACGTGTGCATAGTGGAGAATGGACACTTACTGTAAACATATACTGGGATTTGCTGGATTTGATATTTGCTGACCACTCATTTTGGACATGGTAAATGCTTAGAAAAGTGAGTATGAGAAGAACTAATCTACTGTCCTGTATATATGGACCAGCAATTTGATCATTGCACCATATCCCTGATGGAATAAGAACATAGCTAAATATTGTGACCAGAGTTTTTCAGCTGCTACAGTGATAATTTTCACAACACAATTTATTTAAAAAAACTAATTAAACTACACCTTCCAGGAATACTATTTAAGACTACCACGGAATAAATCAATATAAACATCACTGTCACGTATGGAACAAACAGCAATGCTCAGCACACCAACCAATACTTTTCAGAAAACTACTTTATTATTTAAAGTGACATTAAACCCTCAGATTTTTTAACATAAAACAATACTGTAATGTGTGCCTTACTGTAATCCATGGTTGTTTCCCTTCTCTTTGCTGCTCTTCCTTTTAAATCTGTATCTGTTCTCATGCTGGGCAGAACTTCTGTTTTGCAGCAGACTGCCTTGTCTCAGGAATGGATACACGGTGTCTGTGTATAGGTTTGTATAGGCTTGTAACCAGAGCCAGCACTACAGGAAGAG